TGCTGAAAGTACTTGAACTACAGGGAGTACAGAGCTTTATAATCTCATGAGAAATACTTAATTCCTGATGCCTAAGTCACTTATTTGTGATCCTGAAATAATTACCTGTTTTATTATTAATAAATTTCTCAATGAATCACTTGCAAAGATAAAGTTCAGGAAAAGGGAGAGAACACTAGAAGTAGCTCAAAATTTTCTTTAAAAAAAAGTCATTAATACCGTATTTGCCATTTGCAAGGCAGGATCCATCAAGCTACTTAATTCCTGATGCCTAAGTCACTTATTTGTGATCCTGAAATAATTACCTGTTTTATTATTAATAAATTTCTCAATGAATCACTTGCAAAGATAAAGTTCAGGAAAAGGGAGAGAACACTAGAAGTAGCTCAAAATTTTCTTTAAAAAAAAGTCATTAATACCGTATTTGCCATTTGCAAGGCAGGATCCATCAAGCTCAGGATTTCTTCATTATAACTTGATTCTAGGCTAATGATGTCATCGATAACATCATCCATCTGCAGGAAAAAGGTCAATTGAAGAGAGAGATAAGCAAAAACTGTTCAAAGCAACCCAAGAAGAGATCTTGGGTTTCTTCTTACCCAAAGCAATAATGCTCTTTAGTTAGATTCTAAGAAGTAACTGTGCTCTTCCTCCCAAAATATGAAAACTATCAAAGGCCGTTAGTTAATACTAACAGATGATAAGGATGGCATTAGCAACCAGCATCTAGTAAGTGATTCACAGGTGTCAGACACCGTGCTCAGGGCTTTTTGTGGGCTCAGTTATTTACCCCTGACATTAACCCAAACAGAGTAGGTACTATTATATCTATTTTCCAGGTGAGATAAACGAGAAGCAACTAGCTCAAAGTCACACATCAAAGAAGATTTAGAGCCACAATTTGAACCGTGTTCTCAACTGCTATGGTAAACTGTCTGCTCTCCATCGGAAAGATGAACCAGGAAACCTCATCTTGAATAATAGCTGACATACCCTTTTTTCTCCGAAGACTATATCCCATACCCTTCCTAGACCCTCCTTGGAGTAGGAAAACACACATGGTAATTCAGCCCTTTGCTCCCATGGGGGCATGTGGGGGCACTGTGGTTCTCAGGCCACTGGCTGGCCCTGCACTGATCTTACAGTGACTTATAAAGTTTCTCCTGTAGAGCTGCCAGTGTGCTTGGTACTCCCCAAGGACTACACCAGGACGAGGTTATCATTACGTTCGTGGAGCTGACATTCCCACTAGATCAATTTTATTCCTAAAGTACCAAAGCATGAGTTATGATCACAAACAACAGTGATTACATGTGCATTGCAGCAGTTGCAAAATATGTGAAACCATTTGTTCGTAAACACCTTACATATCTAAACTAGTTGCTGTGTGTGCGTGCACGTATGTATAACACACACTTAGATCTAGAGTGCTTCATAAGCACACAATGAAATCTCAGAACTCAGAGACATGCTCCTTTGTGTATTTTTTTTTTTTTTTTTGCCACTTCCAATTAAAGAGGACAGGTTCTAACATCATGGGGCTTGTTGGAACCCTCATTCTCGCACTTTCTGTATTAGAAGCAAAGCCCCAATCTTTAAAAGCTTCAGTAGGCCAATCTGTAACATAAGGTTAATAATACTCATTGCCTTATTGCATTCCTGTGAGATTTCAGGATAAATCATATGAGTGCTCATAGTGCAGGAATACAGTAAACATTCAAAAAATGAGCATTATGTGGTCCCTGAGAAGAATAACTATAGGTCAGCTTTGAATAATTGCCAGTACTTGGTTTATTAAGTTCCATTTCAACATACACTAGTTTTATTTGTCTTGTTTTTAAAAGATAATTTTCTAATTGAGCTAGTAAACAGACTAATGGGCCAAGGGGCTTATGAACAACCTTTCTTTGTATATTATTAATTTTATTTTTAGTGAAATAAAATTACTGGGTTAGTGTTATAAAATTTTTAAAATAATTTTTTTCTCTTATAAAAAAGTAATGCAAGTTGATAACATAAAATACAGAAAAGCAAAAAAAAAAAGGATTTTTATGGCTTATTATTTCTCTTATACATCTAACTCACATTTTTAAATATACATAAGTATATTAATAAATAAATGTAGCATAATTTATATATCCATTAAATAGGATGTCATATAAGAACCTCTAAGTACTTGGGGATATAGCCATGAAATATTAGTAAATTAATAAAGTTTCAGAATGTATGTTCCATGAGATTCCATCTTATAAAATAATATATAGATTATACACATATTTTGGTTTTACAAATAGTCTATCAAAGTTGCTACCCTACACATTTGCATAACATACACTGACGATGGCATCTAAATGAAGTACAGCTTTTTAATTTTGTTTACTAAAATTTATGTATTTTAAATACTATTTAATGACTTAAAGCAACTTAATGAAAAATGCATTTTTAAATTTAATTTCCCTAGGATTATTTAATCATGAGACACTATGAAGACAATGGCTCTGTCATAGCTTTCTATCTTAAAAAAGAAATCGATGAGTGGGGAACCCTTAATTCATCAGGAAGGTAGATTAGCCACAAACATAGATTCTCATTACAAAGCGTTACATCCTTGGGCACCGAGTCATTCAGTACCTGCATGCATGATGCTCGTGAGTGCGTGTTCATTGTTGGGCATTCGCTCTCCGCCCTGTTTTGTTCTTCAAATTTATAAAATCCCTGCAAAAACACAAGCAAAATCAGCCCATGACTTAGATTTGGAAATGACTTTTTAATGACATGTTCACAGGAGGCTGATGGTGCAGCAACAAGATGAACTACGCTTTCGAATAAAGTGGAATCTGACTGAGAAACGAAATAATGAAGGAAGAACTTCCATCAAATCAGCTTGATAGATGACAAATATGGACAGAGAAAAGACAGTTGCTTTGGGCATAGGTGAAAAGACTTTATCCCTTTAGAAATTAAAATTAACCAAACTTCAGAAAAGTCACCTCTGAAATCATATAAACATTTCAGAGTACAGTAAAACTCCATTAAAATGAGGCTCATCATCTCATAATTTAGAAATAACAGGCATTTAATCACAACTCTCCTCTCAGGTATATCTATGCATCAAATTTTGATGCAACGATTAGCTTGAGGTGTGTTTGAGTCTTGTCTCCAATCCAGCCTTTACAAAAGCAGATTTAACAGGCAGCAGCAATTTTATTATAAAACTGAACTTATCTAACAATTAAACCTTTGTTTTTCTGTTAAATTCTCATGTGCTCTACTATTCATATCCATCCATGCACATTCTGTACTTTTTTCTACAACTCAGAGAGAAATAAAAATAATATTCCAGACATTCACAACAAGCGGAACTTCTAAATCGCCTGTCCCACACCTTTTCTATTTTTGCTTTTCCTTTTCCACCTTCCCTTCTCCTCTCTCTGAATTTTCACTGCTTTGTAAATGGAAAGGCATTGAAGAGAAGAGAACACTCAGCTAATGCAGCAGAAACAGGATGGGAGAGAAAGTGTCCTCGCCTCCATGTTCCACTCAGTGGGCCAGGTCTCCCGTTGTGTGCTATAACCCAATTACCCAGTGATGCTGAGAAGAGGCTGGAGGGTGACAGCCATGCTGGAGAATGTGAGACACAGGCCAGTGAATGTGGCCACACGGACAGACTAGAGTCCATAGTCAAGTGCGGGAATAATATCCAACAGACAGTCATTTAGTGTAAGAAAACAGGAGAGGGGAGGAGACATGAATTACCTCTTTTTCACAGTTGGAGTTAAGTGTAAGCATAGCCATGGGGCTGTTGGGTGCGCTGCTCCCCGGCACTGGTGGCATGACATGATCGCCAGGCTGGTTTGGACATGGCAAGCTCAGGACTTGGTTGGCATGTTTATTTGCTAAAGTGGTAGAAAGGTACTGCTTTACCTGCTGCCTTTGGGCTTGCTGTATGTGGTACTTGGTGGGGTTTTCGAGGTGGGTCTGCACCTGAACATAGCCACGGAGGGAAGAGAAGACAGCGCTGTTATTTGTGAGTTTCGGACAGCTCATTTAAGGCACAAACATGAGACTTGCCAGTCCACCAACAGAATTAATGATTAAGCCCCTGTTATGTACCAGGTACTGTGCTAATGGATTTTGATATTACTGAAGTTTAAAGTCTAACTTTTAGGATTTGGGGTAATACTTTTGTCCTGTTTTATTTCCCTGCTAATTAGTGGTACATCTCTTTTAAGCCTTCTGCCCTTCTTCTAATAACTAAAAATTTACAACTATCTGTAGGGCAAAAATTTCCGCAATGCACCTGGAAGGGTTTATTAAGATCAAAAACCGTAATCTAGAAGGAACATAACTCAATTTATTTCACTTCCCTCGGCAAACAGAACAGCTTTTTGTTTAAAAAATAAAACTTAAGAAACAACTGTAAAACGGTTGTAGAAAATAAACAGAAACATTCTAATGATTCTACCAACTAGTTGTGGATTAATTCCTCCCACTTTTATTTGGACATGATTATTCAACATTTTAATTAAGATCTTGAATGCAACATAAAAAGCAATTCTACATTAAGCAGTTTCTTTCAAAAGCGTAAGACTTGAATGTATGTGTTTTTAAATGTGTGATTATGAAGCTACCAGGATATTTTTTCCTCCTTTCTTATTTCTTATAAACATTAATACAGAATTAGAAATGCTTTTTTAAAATCAATGATACTCAACTTAAAGTCACTTTTCCTTGATAATCACAATTTATTCTTACGAGCTATGTATAGAAACTGCTGGAGAAAGCACAGCAACGCACTAGGGGAAAAAATCCTACTAATATTTACTTTGTTCAAAGCTACATTGAATTATTTCTTATGGCATCAAACAAACAGCATTAAACTAATAAAACTGTTCTTATTGAAAATAGTGTGTCTATTACAATAACATGAAAAGGTGAATTACTCAATTTATTGCATTATATTTCAGAGACTGAATAAGAATAAGAATAAAGCTCACCTGATAGTGATTATATTCTAGCATTTCCAGCATAATAACGTTTTAGGTGGCCCCAATCCAACGAGAAACGGTAGACTAGTCACTCCCTCTACTTTCTGTAATTCCGATTTGTAGACTGACTGGCACAGAGAAGGCACTATAAACAAGGTATCCCGAGACACCACCGGAAACTTTATCACAGCAGCCCTGCTTATAATAACCTAAGCTAATTAGTTATGCATGTAAAAAAAACCATTCGCACAAGGGGCTTTTTTTTTTTTTTTTCTTTAATAACCTAATAATTAGTTAGGCATGTAAAAAAAACCATTCCCACAAGGGGCTTTTTTTTTTTTTTTTTTCTTTGGAAACCCTACAAATTTGGTCTTAAATATTGATATCAATTTCCCCCCTGGCTTGATGTCATGCTTTTTTTCATAAATATAAAAGAACCTTTTAAAGTGATGAGCTATCAAAGTCGAACTCACTGTCAGATCAAGGCCGATTCACTATTCATCTTTAGTTCCAGTAGTATTAATAGACAATGGCATTTCTCTTTCAGCAATAGGTTAAGAGCTAATGCCCCCTTTGGAGAAGAAATTGCCTAAAAGCTGCTGTTACACATGAGATTTTTCTAACAGCCAAATAACTCTGCCACTTACAACTACAGGAAGACTGTCTTTTAGTATGGAGGAGTCTCTGTGCTAAACTTCCAAGTTCATCAGCCTCATCTTGCATCCTGGTCTCAATGTACATCTTATTCTTAGCTGGATAGATATGCAACTTTCCTATTGATCTCGCATCTGGAAGAAGAGTAGCTATCCTAAATAAAGCAGAAAAAATGCACACACACATACACACTCACACTGGATGTATATTTAAGTGGATATATGTTTAAGTGGAATAAATGTCTCCTCAATTTAACCCTCAAATTAGAAAGCATGAAAACTTTTACCAAAAATCTTTAAATATTGTTCTTGGGACTAGAGAAGAACAAGAGTTATCATATACACAACTGATGCACTTACATATTTACTCATTTTTCATTCCATTATTTACTGTTATGCGCTAAACACGGTGCAAAGAAAGCACAGAATATATATTATGAACACACAGATATGATTTCCAGCTTTATGACACTTATAGTCTGGAGAAAAAGGAAGAAAAAAGGCAAACAAATACACATTTAAAATGATGATAATGGTTAATATTCACAGTTGAAATGGGAGATATTTTATCCAAAAAATTTGAAACTTAATAATTCTTTCCAAATGCCCAGGATACTAAAGTCCTTTAGGTTGACAGTCTCAAATTGTTTCAAATGACTGATCTAACATGCACACAGAGGTTCACAGAGGGATTTTAAGTTTCATAAAGGGTCCAGACACGATAATAATGAGGACAACAGACATTACTAAAATAAACATAAAATGAGGGCAATGAGTGTAAAGTGCTCATTTCACTATTACACTTAAAAAAGAAAAGCCTGCACATTTAAAAATAAATGTTAATTCACTGGCAGAACCTTATTCTTTAATGAATCAGAATTTTATGCTTTAGTAAGAAAAAGAAGCCACTCGTTCTCTATTTAGCACTGCCAGTGAGGTCTTTACTACATCCAGGTTGGGGTAATCAGAGTGGAATGTATTTTAACTTTTGACTGTCAGGGTCTTTTTAGTTTTCAATTAAGCTGAGAACAGATTGCCTCAGAACATTTACAGCTGTTTCTGATCCAAACATCTGAAACAGGTAACATAAATGAGGTTCATGAGCTATAATGTAATAGGGATTAGTGAGGTCTGTGGCAAACTAGAGGATGCATATTTCATCTAAAAAAAACAGCTGATAAAGTTGCAGCTGATTGTGGCGATATGAGAATATCAGTCCAATATAGCTAGATCTTCCACTTTTTCAATTTAGCTATCAATCTGAAGTTCTTTTTTAAACGAAATCTCCCAGATTAAAAAATGACACCGAATTGTTTAATTTTTCACATTGTATAAAACAAATTAAACACATCTATAGGCTGGACTCAGACCACAGGCCACTAGAATGTGGTCTCTGCTTTACACTGTTCAAGAAGATAATCATATCTACATTCCCTGAGGGGTGGCCTAGGTTCTAAGAAGGTTAGTTCCTCTTCTGAGAAGCGTCAAAATCCAGGAACTTCCCTGTGCTTCTCTGAGAGACAGCATGTCTGACAACACAGTCAACAGTCTAGTTAAGCACTCGAAAACTGGGTTCGAATTCTGGCTTTGCAACTTACTATTTATGTGACCTTCTGCAAGTCATTAACTTTTCAGGCCTTTAATTCTTCGTGTGCTCAATGGGGGTAATAATAGAACCTGTCTCATAGAGGTGTTTTCAGCATTAAATTACATCACGCCTCTGACTTAGCAATGTATCTGAAACAGCAGTTCTCAAACTTTTTTGTCTTAGCACCCTTTTTAAATCTTCAAATTTATTGTGTTTATGTGGATTATATCTATCAATATTTAGCATATTAGCAAGTAAAACTGAGAAATTTTTAAAACACACTAGCATAAATCCCACTGGCCATCAGAATAATGACATTTTAACAGGTCATATAGCATTTGTACAACACTTCTGCATACTCATGAAATGAGCATGAAGAAAGGAAACTAACATCTTGGTACTATTATGAAAAGAGTTTCAACCTAGTAAAAGCACTACAAGGGTATTGAAACGCCCCTGCTCTTTGATCGCAGTTTGAGAACTGCTGATCTAGAACACAGTACTCTAGCAGTCTCACCACTCCACCCTAGCCATGTCATTCACCACCTGGATGAGGGAAACAAGATGCAGAGAGGCTGTCGTTCATCACAACCTCTGTGTGTCTTGCTTCCCCCATCCCAAAGGTGCTGGAGGATACACTTAACCCTACCCTAAATTCCTCAGAGCATTACTGAGGCTCCATAGTCCCTTGACTATTTTAAAAGCCATTCAAATAGAATTTCTGTCCTCAACAATCCTAAACCATAGATTTTTAGTTAGTGACTTCCTCTTCATTAATTTTTAAATTGCCTACATACAAGCATACAAATTAAAACATATGTGGCATTAACATCTGCAAGATTTCCTGACAATTTTTGCATGTTTTTGACCTTTAAACAAACTACTCAAGTTAAGGAATTCAGATAGCAAAAGTTGAGTATTGTTCAGCACTTGAAGCATAGACCACAAAATAAAGGTAGAATACTTTACACTCTATTCAAATATCGTACTTTATTGATAAAAATTTCATTTCACGTAAAGGATGACCATGACCTGGTTAGAGTGCAAAAACCCAAAGGCTTTGAAATTTTTCTTCCTTATTACTGTGTTGTTACATCTCCTTGACTCTGCAATGACTCCTGGGGACTCTGAATGAGACATGTCCACAATGTGCTGTCCTCAACAGCCTTGCTCAGCTTCTGCAGACTCATGCCTATGGCTTCTTTTATAGAATTAATTCATCTCATATTCTGTCTTCCTCTTTTCCTGCTGCCTTCTGTATTTTCCAGCCTTATTTTCTTTTCCAAAAAAACCCCTGTCTTCTCATGATGTGCCCCAAGTAGGGAAGTTTTAGTTTTATCACTTTTGCCTCCAGGGATGTTTTGCCCTTTTCCCTTTCTTCATTCAGATTTGAATTGACAGCAAGAGAATTGGAATGGAACACCTTCTAACTGTCACACTTTAGCTTTGCCACTTCTCAGGTAACACTGACAGGTTGTTTTCCATCAGTTTCATTCTAAAGATCCTAGAACACATCAGTGTAAGATGGTGCCTGTAGATACTATCATCTTGGCTGACAAAATAATTCACTAGAGGGAAAAAAGTTCCCATCTGATGTCCACTGTTCTACTCATCCTACTATCTGTAAACCAGAATATAAACAAAACTGAATAAAAATTCCCATGATCCTTTTAGTTTATAATTTATTTTTTAACAAGTCAACAAAGTTTTAGATTTCTCATTTTATGTATTCTTCTGCTCAGTAAATTAAAAAAT